AAACACATTTTTTTTTGGATGGGTGACCGTCTCAAAGACTTAAAATCGACATTATTTAAAACATTTTATTTTAGTGATTATCTTATAAAAATTATAAGACTGAGTGTAAGTAACATTATGTAATTATACAGTGTACTTTTTCGTGGATGGGTGCCCGCTTTCAAATATATTTTTACGATTTTCAAGAACCTGTTTTGTGGAAAACAGTTAATTATTATTTTATTATTATTAATTAATTTTTTTTATTATTTTATCTATACTCAATGGTATAATGCAGTGTTGTAAAAAATACTTTTAAAAAGTATTTGAGCAATTACTCAAATACTTATAAAATAAAGAATTTAAAATACCACAGAAATACTACCTATAGCTAAGTATTTGAAATAATTTTCAAATACAAAACAATAAAATCAATTTAATTCTGAATCATTCATAATATATTATATTAATCAAACATTTGAGTGTTGATCCGTCATATTTATTCTTTTTTTTAGCATTGTTGCATCAAAAACACTAAACACTTTCTCTACTGATGCACTGCTAGGTAGTGGAATGTTCTGCTTCACAAATACCTGAAAACTAAGTACAAATGTTTTTGTAATATTACTACAAATAGTATAAGACGTTTTCAACTAATCTTACTTTTTTGATAGTGGGTAAATTATGCAAACATTCTAAAGTCTTTGTTGGAGATGTGCCCAAATATCTATCTATTTCATCACTAACTGTTGATTTTTCCTCTTGGGAATTTTGTGACCCGGTTAAAAAAGGTAGATAAATTATCCTTCATTTGGTTATCTTCTACATCATTATTGTCATTATCATTGGTATGTAAGTCATAACAGGCACTTTTTAAATATTCTGAGGCCAATTGCTTTTTTATATCATTTATAATCCATGCTTTTTTAAATAGTGGGTGGCAGACTGCAGCAGTAATTAAAAATTTGTCTATCAAATAATGGGCAAACCTTGTTTTTACACCTAAAAAATAAAAATTATTACCAATAAAGTTTGTTTATTTTAGCTCATGAGTATATAAATGTAGGTACTACACAGAAATATAAATATAAATAATAGATCAGCTGATTAAAATTTTACATTTTACATCAGTAAGACTGTAAGAGCTAAGAGAATAGTATTTACCAATAAAGTTAGTCAAAAACAGCTAAAATGAAGAGAAATTAAATGTGTAGGTACAATTTAAGTATGTACTTTGCTAAATAAGATTAATGTATTTAAAAATATTAATTATTACATACCATTAAGTATGGCAGTCACCAGAAGTTTCAAATAATTAGAAAATGTTTGATCACTTGTCATTAATTCATAATTATAAATTAATTCTTCAATTGTAGGTAGGAGATGACCAAAGTACATGTTAGTATCACCCTGGAGTAAATAAAAGCTTATTGAAATTGATATGACACATGAAATATATATCACTTTTGAATCTGAAAATATTGTTTATTCCAACGTGTTTTGTTGGGTGTAATTAAATAAACTCCAAGATTTTGTTTAAATAAATCAGCTGACTTAGTTGAGGGACCTTGTTTGATTCACAAAGCGGTAGACTTGGCAAAAGTTCTTTTCGACTGTTTTTTGTATGCAACATTAGACAAAGCTTTTTTAGATTCCTAGAAAAAACAAGTTATACAAATAAATTATTTTATTTTGTATTTAATTTATACAAATTTGTAATTAATAATAAAAAATTAAGCAAACATAATTTATTGATATTTAAAATTGGAATTTGGGTATAGATTATAGAAAATAGTTAATGCTAATCATATTTATACTTATATCTTAGAATATTTTTTTTCATATATAATTATCATTTAAATTGAAAGAAAAATTTAATTTTTAAATGTATTACAACTCATACAAATTTGATTATGAGTATTAAGTATTAAAGTGCTTCTTGACTGTTTTTTGTATGCAAGATTAGACAAATAAATTATTTTATTTTGTATTTAATTTGTACAAATTTGTAATTAATAATCATCGCTCTATGCAAATCTATTTGTTATAGGGCATGTGTGTATGGTGGATTGGATGCATGACCCGTCCATGCTAGATGTAAGTGAAAAAGCAAGAAATTCAAAAAGAAATTAAGTTGTATAGCTGCCGCAATTTTGGAGTGTCTAGAAAGTCAGTCACCCGGCTCGATTTTGAGCGTAGTCTGGCAGGCAGGCCTTGGGACTCTGTCGTATAGCGAACGACGTGCAACGGTCGGGTAACACGATGAGGTAAGCAATCAGAAAACTGTGACTGAGTGTCTAGCGAGTTTAAATGCATGTTTGACATTTGACACAAATACATTACAAAATCCGCATCAAGAGAGAAGCACATAAAGGTTGTCAAATTTCCCCTGTCTTAGTAGCAGTACAACAATGATTGTTTCTGTTACACCTGCATTGATAAAGTCATTTCTAGAATGTTTCTGAAATAATACAAATGCATACCAATATCTGCTAATATATTTTTGAGTACATAAATAATTCTAAACAGATTCACACAGATTGGATTTGATGTTCATTAAGTTCTTGTAGACTTCATTGTACAGTTATATCGCTTGTAGAACTTCTCTGTACACAATGTTCTTAGTGACGATTCTACCATTGTCATCACTGTACATACCAACTCTAATGGATTGAGAGTCCTCACTCAGGAAAACGCTACATACAGTTGTCCGTGCGTGAACACCGGTGATGGCAGGAGCAATCCAACTCTATCAAACGTTTGTTCCTATCAAAGGTTTTTTAATGAGCGAGTAGTAATTATAATGTAAACTATGAATTTTTAAACAAAAATGTTGCGCTACTGTCTACACAAATACCTAGATAAAATAACTAATAATATTTTAAGATTTACAATTTACTTGCCAAAAGCCAATTTGTCCATTATTATTCTAAACTTAAGTTCATTATTTTAAATTTATTTATTAAGCAGCACCACTGCATCATACAGTGAATTCCAACGTGTTTTGTTGGGTGTAATTAAATAAACTCCAAGATTTTGTTTAAATAAATCAGCTGACTTAGTTGAGCAACCTTGTTTGATTCACAAAGCGGTAGACTTGGCAAAAGTTCTTTTCGACTGTTTTTTGTATGCAACATTAGACAAAGCTTTTTTAGATTCCTAGGAAAAACAAGTTATACAAATAAATTATTTTATTTTGTATTTAATGTATACAAATTTGTAATTAATAATAAAAAATTAAGCAAACATAATTTATTGATATTTAAAATTGAAATTTGGGTATAGATAATAGAAAATAGTTAATGCTAATCATATT